AAGCGAAACACACTAGCTCCAACGCCGGATTTAATCTTTTAAGATCTAAATAATTTGCTGATAAAGCAACCATGGTGACATTTATGACTGAAAAATATCAAACAACCTAAACATTCTAAATACTGTCAATTCCATTATTTAAACGAAAGACACGAAAGGTTGCATATTTTTAATCTAAAGAATCGATTTTTTATTTACTGGTATAACCGATATTTCATACAGAAATTATCATAGCTATGGTAGGTTTTAAACAGAAAATTATATAAAAATTTTGTGTGTGTCATCTTATTCTCAGTTCTTATATACAGAAAGATTTATTTTTAGAGATTTCGCTCCGAGATATTAAAAGTAAGAGTTAAGTGCGTCAAGTTTTGGAAAGTAATAGTGAAAAATTAGGACATGATCTGACATATGACACAAAAAGATAAAAGAAGTAAAACGGAGTTGTTAAGGTTTTTACTACTATTGAGCCAGCCAACCAAATGTATAACCAGTGGTTTAACTTTTTGTAAGTTTATTAATAGCCGTATAATTTTTTGTGTTTGAAATTGAAAAAATTTGTATTTAGAAAATTTGTTTCAAGTTGTTAATAGAAAAAAAAACGTTCAGCCAAGGGCGGATCCAGGAAGTTTGACTGGGGGGGGGGGGGACGAAAATTTTTAAATAAATATTTTGTAATGTTGAATATATCCATTTTTGATTATAAATTTTAGAATGTAAATTAATTGAATAATATAATGTTTTATGTTTACTTTGATTTATTTATAACTTTTATTACAAATGATCAAAGGAAAATTATGAACGCACCCACGCGGCAAAATACACGCTTCTTCCGTCTGATTTTCATTTTAAAAATTCAAATTTGAGTTGCGCTAGTAATAGTACTGTATAAGTATCATAATTCATAATCATATTTTCAGTTTTTTTTAGAAGATTAATTTAAATATATATGGATCGTTTTGTGAAACGAACTAAAAGGGCACATCCACCAGGTTAGATCACCATACGATATGAATTTGTTCACTAGTAGCATAGAAATTGTTAAATAAGTGTTCAGAGTTAAGTTAAATTTAGTTTATTTTTTTAGAACTACATGAAGGCGATAGTTCCGATAATCATAATGAAAAAGTGATTGTTAAAAATGATAAATCATTTGAGCAAGTAGCTTTGCACGATAATGACGAAGATAACAAGATAAAGAATAATGAAAAAGTCTATCAACAAATGGATTTTGTACATAATAATGATATTGGACTGTATGTGGGCAGCAGTAATAAAACAATTAATGATGATATAAAATTTGAACTTCTACAAAATCCATGGAAACCAGAATTTGGCTACAAATTTCCGTATTCAAATCATATTAAAAATGGTAAAAATGAAAAACGGTACATTTTGAAAAGTCACTTGGAAACATTTAATGCATGGTTGACATACTCGCATGTGGAACAAGGTTTATTTTGCAGGTATTGTGCTCTAATGGCTGACACCGGCGGTATTAGTCATCAAACGCCATTGCAAAAATTAGTAAAAAAACCACTTACATCATTTGCAAAATTATTAGGCAAAGATGGTGATCTCAGCTGTCATGAACAA